GCCCTAGTAAACGAATACGAGGCTCACATTCAAAAAATCCAATGGGATAACAGCTGGTAGAGACAGTAAGATACCACCGAATGATCTTGCTAAATTCCATGATCCGGACACCTCTTGCATCACCGACATCGTCACCGTCTATTCCTCCAAATGCTCGGCCCCAGCACATTCTGAAGAAATTGATGCCATAGGAGAGGTGGCTGCATCAGATGCAGGAAGGAGGAACGGGCCAGTGTCTGTCACATCTTCATTCCGCAAATTGGTAGAAGAGATCGCACACTCTATGGACCAAGCCTTACAAGAGGAACACCAGAAATGGAAACAGGAGCATCCAGATGAAGCCTACGACCCTACACCACCTCGTCCCCGATGGCAGGAAGACCCTCGATTCGATGATCCCAAGGTCAGAGATTCCTATCTTAAACAACGCCAAATCGAAATCGAAGTGTCCTGATGGGATAAGAGGCCATACAAAAACCCACCGATCCTCTTTGATCCCTCGGATGAGGACGAGTCAGATGTCAACTTACTTCAAAGAGTGACGGAAAATTGGGATGACGATGAAGACGAGGAAGTGGGCATAATCAAACAACCCGAATCTCTTTCTGGATATGAGTCAGATGGATCATTCGGGATGAATGAGTCTTAAGAAGGGGGTAATGTTATGGTTTATTCATTTTCTTTTCTTTTTCTTACCTTTCTTGCTTACAATATATGCTTCTCTCATACAATCGCAACAGACTCATTCTCACAGTACTATTATTAGCCTACACATCGTGTATTTAAGTAGAGCCTCAGCTGGTCTAAACCCCAGCTTCAGCTAAGGTTTAATCTATCCAACTCGAACTCCGTGTTTCGCGTCTATCTAAGTTTGCTTCTGCTCATCCCATACAAGCTTAGACCTGCAAGTGTATCGATCCACCAAAGTGCGAGTGGCAGTCCTCATTTGATCTAGTTTGTAGAGTTGGTGGCTAACAACAAAGAAGGCTGGGTTGATCAGACCAGATGGAATCTGTAGGCAACAAAGAGAGAGAGAGAGATTAAGAAAGAAGCATAGAGAAAATCAAACTTGTCAAAATATGTGATGGAGGCATGATGAGTAACATGTCTGAAGTCACTTGAGATTAGGAGAGATAGTAGACTTTCAAGTAAAGCTTAGTTTCAGCCAATAGATTGGTGTGAAAATTGAAGCCGGGTATCTACACACAACACTGGCTGTACTTATACTAAAGCTAGAGAATCACATGTAAGATAACCAGGATAATAAGGAATAAAACTGAATATAATGAGTGTCATATGAGTTAGACAGAGAGCCATAGTATAGAAAGGAGTGAGTAATAAATGGCTCAGAAAAAGGTATATGAAGGAGTGACTAGTAAGTTAGGTAAGCATGATGAACCAGGTATTCCATTACATCTAGTCCTCACTACCTGAACAACAGCTCACTGGATTAATCAAGGACTTGAAGCATGGAAGTTAGACATCTGCTTCACAATTGGGTCCATTGACTTGACTCAATATCTGGGCTGAAAGACTGTGGTTGAAGACCCACCCAATGGCCTTAGTAATGTTGTTCAGCAAGGACCTGCGCGGCTGGGACAGCTTGGAAATATGGGCATCAATTAGGTGGTCTCTGATTTGGTGCCAAAGCTCCTCTTCTGTGAAATGTGTATCCTCATACTGGTGCATTACTTCCATCCACTCTTCATCATGCAGGATTACAATCTCCAAGGAGGGATCCTATGAGGAATGTATCAGCATGTAAATTGTTGTCTGTGGGTAATTTACCATATTCAGCAGATATTCATTCACTGCCACTGAAGGATTCAAGAGCTGATAGTAGAATTAGTTTTGGTATGTACTGAGAATGACTGACATAAATCTCACCTCACTTTCTCCAGGTGGAAATTTTGATACTTTTGCAACCAATGACCTATCATCAACACTCTCTGCCAACATCCCACTCTGATCTGAGTCTGGATCCTCCAGCACTTTCCCAAAACCAAAGAATGAGGAAGTATGAGCCCAAAATCCAGTTTTTTCATTGCTCAATGGAAGAGGAGCACTCTTAGTGTCAAAAGAAGGAACCCTGTCTTTGGAGGAGCCACTGAGGTGATAAGGAACTGACTTCCACCTTGATTTATTGAACAGGCTTTCTGAAATTGATATTGTAAAACCCCGTGCGAAGACACATTGGTTCTCACGATCCATCGGATAAGAATAACGGGCGATAGGATTTGGAAATAAGCCCTTTTCCACCCCGGAATCACCGACCCAGGAGTTCACAACCTTAACCGTTACTCCACCAGCGCTTGCTAAAGTACACTTGAGGGAAAACATGATGGAGCGGTCTGTCCTTCCAATGGCTGCATTCCCCCAGGTAGTTGTTTTATCACACCCGGTGACAAGATACAAAGAGCTGTTTGGTGCCTGCCGACCCAATGTCCCATTGACATAATTGTACCATGATACTCCGTGTCGTTGAGCGTAATCTTCGATTGGTGCTTTGTTCAGAGCCTCGTACTTTGTTGAACAATTTGGAAGGAACAGGATTGCTGCGGATGCCTCCATAATGCTAACATCAAAGGAGACACCAGCATCCACTTGAATGCTATTATCAAGAATCAAGAAGAATTTAGACAACAAAATCAAGATTATGACTGTCTACACACCTCTGCAAACCCTGAGCAGAAGCGCCTGCCGAAACCTCTCTGCAGGATACATGCTGACTTTTAAGAACATCTCCGTGGGCTGGCGAAATTTGTACATCCCGTGAGGTTGGTTCAGGGAGAGGTTGAAAGCCAGGAGGTACTCGTCGCTCATCAATTCGACCATTAGCATCGCCGAAGATATTGAAGAGAAAGTCGAAACCCCCATCATTGTTAAGAATCCCTACATCCCCAGGATATATGCCTCTTTCCTTGAACTCAGCTGATGCGCTGGAGTCTGGCTCTGGATACCAAAACGGATAGCCACGGCCTTTGTGGATGAGCTCCTTTGTGTAGAGGGTGCGGGGGTGCTGTTCAGCCATGGAAGTTTGGATTAAACCGTGTTTGATGACAAACCTGTGCTCAGGGGTGTGAGAAGATGCTGAACGGCAAAAGCTTCCAAAAGCTTCCATGGCTGTAATGATTCCGATCGGCAATTCACAGAACACGTAACATGCCTTTTTCGAAGGTAGTTGTATCGGCCTTCCTTTGTTACTTTTGGCGGCCTGCCGGTGTCAGATACACTATATATGTAAATTTCACAAATTCACATCGTGTTTGAGCGAACTTTGACGGTTTCATAATAACCCCCCAGTGAAGCTGTAGCCGAAATCGAACAGTGGTGGCGCAATGAATTGAAAGCACAAATAGATGAATACTCACCGGTCACCCACCGGCTAGTACATGGACATGCTGCATGTCATGAGTATATAATTTGTAGTCACCAGATGTCAACTTCATTGAAGAGCATCTGCCACAATGACTACACATGACTGGATAGATGGATCACAGTGTCGTAAGTAGGCCGTAGGTGCTGTAGAGTTTGATGCTTCCGTGAACTTGCACAGGCCAGGCGGGCCTACCTCGCAGAAAATAATGCTTCCCTTTCGAGTTAAAACTAGGTTGCACTGACTTCTGAAATGGTATGACAAGCCTAGAGCTGTTCTCAAAGAAACGAGTTGAGGGGTGGATGTGAATATAAAACGACTTTGAGACATTCGGAGGCGGTGCGTGATAGGTGTGCTATTCCAAGAAAGAAGTACCTCGCGAAGCGCGCGGTGACTACTTGAGGTTCTGAGATTGAGCGAGGAATGACCAGTAGAACAGGGTTTGTGGGCGAGAGAGTACGATGCAACCGGATTCCTTTTCCTCTCACAACTTCGAGGCCTCTTTCCCCGGTGTGGGCGGTGGCCGCGTACGAATCAAGTGTATCTTTAACGAATGCGCAGGTGGACAGTGGAAAAGTTGGTTCATGATAAAGAGGGGTCCTATTTCCACTCGCAACATCGGCAGAAAACGCATCAGAGCGAGCCAATGAGTGCCAGTTGTAACGAGGAAGTTTTTAATCAAAATCATGTCAGAAACGTGGTCATCTCGAGGCTTCGAAAGACAATGCAATGATAAGTGTAGGTGGGAAAACAATGTGACATTGGCGATATTGAACAGCTGATATGCAAAGACGGGCTGAAGACGTGCAGGAGGAACACAATGGGTGTTCTGTGCGGATGGATGGATGGATCCTTTATTACCCGAAGTTGCTCCTCGACAGAAGCATGACGGGGTCCGTACTACAGCTCCCCGGATGTACACAACAAACACGAGGGACAATGCTGCTGTGGTAACAAACCGGTCCTGCGCTCTGCTGCCATGGCAAAGCTCTGTCATGAGTACACCTTCACAGCCTCGGAAGTAGGTAGGCTGATATTTTTGTCAATAACATTATTCGGACACCATGCAGAAGCACGCCAGTCATGGGCAGTGCAAATGCTGTCGGCAACAAGTGAAGAGGAGTCGTAGCGCGAAAGCCTTTCGATAACCCTCCTTCATCATAGCGCGCCGTAGCCTTGTGTGACGGAATGAAGTCGCGCAGTGGTGGTGGTAGATTTGGGATTCGTGATCACAGACATTGGGAATATAACACGGTCGTTATCCATAACCCAGGAGATCTAACTTTTAATCCAACTGTCCAAAATGCGTCACCACCACCGACTGAACACTTCCTGTCGCACCTCCTGGTTCTCGACGTCGACTTCTGGAACCGGTCGATTCCTAGAGACCACAACGAGTGGCTTTGATCCGGGTGTCCTCTTCTTGAATCAGGGGTTGAAGGCGAAGGCCGAACATACACGATGTCGAACCCCGCTTATCGATAAATAGGCAAGCAGACTTGGCCCCGTTTGATGGTGAGCTTGCGCACGGTGGGTAACATAAAATTAATTACAACATCTTGATAGTACCGCTCCGTTGAAATGTGGGAGGCCGAGGTCGAAGATGATGCGTCGGGTCTTGGTTGTGGCAGACAAAGATTATCTCCAGCTCGTCGACATTGGGAGTTAACCTACTCTGGTCATTGGTTTCACCTGCAGCGAGCTTTTGAAGACGAATGACACCCGACGGAGATAGAGATGAGGGAACATGAAGGACCCGCTGAGGTTAGGTAATTTTCGTGACAGAAGTACAGTCATACAACGGCAGCGGGAGGATATGTATTCGGCGTTGGAGATAAATTCCTCGGAGTCATCCATGCGGAATAGGAAGAGCTTTTCCTTTTCTAAGAAAATGAAACAGAGATAGTAGTCGACATATGAGCATGAGGGAATGAACATGTCGCTGAATGCCGTGGTATGCGCGTAGCCAGAATCGGCAGAGGTGAGGACGATCTTGCCCTCCGCGACAATGCTTTCAGAGAGTTCGACAGAAGTCGTTTACAATGTCGGGAACAAGATATCGATGAAAATAAACTTTGCTGATGGTAGGAGCGGACCGGAAATTAACACGTCTCAAGGTATGTTAGATGAGGTGTTGTCGAGGTGTTGTGTTATCTCTGATAAGACACCGTCTATGGACCATCCTCTCTATGCACGACCGTTGGCAAAGGTTGAGGACAAGCCACAGAAGCTTAGGAAGCTGGTGATTCGGCTTTATTATACGTCAGAGACCA